TGTCTTTTGTGCGTCGTTGGTTGGCTCTTGTAGGGCGGCCGGGGGGATGGATGCGCGTCGCTGCGCGCAGGAGTGGCGAGCCGGGCAACTACGGCGTCGGCTTCCCCAACTTTGTGGGCAAAGTGGAGGACCGTCAGCATCCTAGCAAGCTCGCGCGCTGGTGTTGGGGCCCTGGCAGCTTGTCAATTGGTTGATTGCCCGTACCAGTGTTGTTGTTACTACTATGTCGATTGTCGTCATTATTGCTGGTGTTTGCAACTATTGTCATGATTATTGGTACTTGCTTTTACTTGTATTGGTATCATTGTTATCACGATGATGATTGTCTTTGTAACTATTGTTGTTGTCGCTATCACTACTGTTATCATTGCTGTTGTGAGTACTGTTATCGTTGGATAGTATATTATATGTCTGGTTATCCTTCTAGCCATTGTTGCCACTCTTTTTGTTATCAGTATCCTTTGCTAATTTCGACAAGTATGATCATGCACTTTTTACCAGCATCATCAGATCCTCCTTCAGTTAAGTCAAGCCTGTATGGCTGTTGATCAGCACTCATCACTCCTCGTTTTAAGACTTATTGGAGTCATTGTTTGTAGTCGTCATACTCACCACAATGCATTCATTAATGTCATGGTTTGCCTCACTCCTGTCTGTTGCCTTGGGTGAGTGCACATGAAGTCGATAGCAATCGTTAGGAGTGAGACTGGCATCGTCACCGGTTTCAACCAGCACTGTATGTCGTGCACGCGAACCATGTATCCAATGGCAGACGTTAGTGCGCTTCACTTGTGTGGCGTCGGGTCTTCACGGCTTGGCCTGTACCTCACCCTCGCTGCTTCTCCATCCGTCATGTGTCGATCCTTGGATGCTCTGCTGCCGACGACCGCAGGACCCGGAGGAGCGCAAAAAGAAGCTCGCAGCAGAGCTTGCGAACGGGCGTCTGGCGATGATGGCCATCATCGGCCGCCTGTCGAGATATCACGGTGACATCAGTGATGTCGGAAAGCTGAAAGATCTTTTCGCACCAAGGCATGTTCTTCCAAGATGGTCTCACCGGCTCCGCGTGGGGAGACTGGAGCCTGTACACCGCCTCGCCCTTGAGAGCTGAGCCCGTCTCTGCTGCTGCGGCAGCGGCTGCTGCCAAGGCTAGCCGTACTCACAAAGCCAGGAAGCTACAGTAGGTGAAACTGTAACTGAAGGCAGCTGAAGCTAGATGAAGGAGTAGCATGCGTACTGGTAGGATGTCGTGCAAGGCGGCCGCCGCCGCCAAGGGCGCCACAGCGACCACTTCGGCTGTGGCCGGCACTGCTGGTGCTGGCTCCCTCTCCAAGGGCGAGGGTGTGGTTGGCAAGAAGGGCCCCAGCCCATCTTTCGACCCATCCACGCAAATCGGAGCCATGGCTCCGCTTGGCTTCTTCGACCCCGCAGGGTTTGCCAAGAAGGGCGACGAGGACGGCTTCCGCACCCTGCGTGCCGCCGAGATCAAGCACGGCCGTGCCCGAGACCGAAGCAGTCAGACACGTCGCCTTTTCTCTTAAGGGGGCTGGTGTTGCAGTAGGCATTGCGCATAAAGTCATAGTTCATAGTTGGCAGGTGCATGTCAAGGACCTGTGTGAGGACTGTGAGCACCGAGGTGTTGCGATGATGGCAGCGCTGGGTGCCGTGGTGCAGCACTACGTGAAGTTCCCGGGCTTTGACTCCGTGCCCACCGGCCTGGCCGCGTCCATCACCGCTCCCGGCAGCTACGGCTTCGTGGCGCTCTTCGCCGTGGCGGGTATCTTGGAGCTCGGTGCCTGGACCGAGAGCCCCGACAAGGAGCCAGCGAGATCTCGTTGCGTGGCATGCTGCCGGTCGCACAAAAAACACAAGAACAAACAAATAAACCATTAAAAACCTGATCAGGAGCCGGGCAACTTCGGCGACCCGGTTGGCTTCAACCAGTACAACCAGGACGTCCCCGTGCAAAGCCAGTCACAGCATGTCACACATTTCGCTGATTTTTCAGGTAGGTCCTGTGTTGTGTGTGCAGAAGAGCTGCTGCTTTAGATGCAGGCCTTCTAGACTAGCACTAGACCTAGAGGCCATGTATCGCGTGTCAACAGGAGATGCGTGAGCGGGAGATCAACAACGGCCGCTTTGCCATGTTTGCAGCCATCGGCATCATCGCCGCCGAGTTGTACACCGGCAAGGATGCCATCGAGCAGTTCGGCCTCTGAGCACCGGAGTGTGCCCTCTTATCGCTTAACCGTACAGCAGCAGTTTTCTATAGCCTTCTTTAGGACTAGTCATTTTCAGCCGCCGGTACAATGCTTGTACGGTTGGCTCACAGCGGCTTGACCGCCCCCAGTTCGTTGTCGCCAAAAGTGCGAGTGGCATACACGCTGCCACCCAGACCTGCAGGCGAACTTGCCGTCCCAATCTTGAGGGCGTCAATGGATCAAGGGTGACACTGACGGGACCTTGCAGCTTCGATGCGATCTGTCTCCGATGACGTGCAGTTGTCAGCTGACAAGCTGCTTTATCCTTTGCCCTCTGCCCCCTCCACCAGGAAGAAACTCCAAACCCTCAAATTGCGAAAGAACCTCCAAACCGGTGCAAAGCCCCAAACCCTGAGCCCTAAATCCTACACCCCTAAACCCCCAACTAGACCCTAAACCCCCAAAACCCTAAACCCCTAAACTACCCCTAAATTACCCCTAAACCCCTAAACCCCTAACTAGACCCCAAAGCTACCTCCAAACCCCCAGAACCCCCAGAACGGGCCGAGGGAGTCCTACCGGAACCATCACCCTCCGGAGAGCATCTTCGCCTCGGCGACCCCGGAGGGGCGGGATCCCAGGGGGGGGGGGGGGAGCGGGGTGATTCAGTTTAGGGTTCAGGTTTTAGGGTTTGGGGTTTGTCAGGCTTTGGGGGCCTTGATTCCCCCCAAACCCTACCAAGGGTTATTACTTCTTCACAGACGTAAGTCCTTAATTTCTTCGTCAATGTTGCTATATAATACGAACCCCAGGGATTGCATGTGTACATGTCTCTCTCTGTCTCTCTATATATATGTATATGTCGATGTAATATACATATACATATATATATATATATATACATATGGTATATAGCATATATACTAAGTATATACATGTATATGTATATAATTATATATATATATAATTATATATATATATATATATATATAGATAGATAGATAGGTGCATATGTAATAGTCGGTGCATTGTCAGGCATAGAATAGTCCTGGCTGGCATACTTGATGTTCACTTCCATGTTCAACTGCATTCTGACTACCAAAAGAATCTTTTGTGCTGATCTGTGCTGCCATCAGCATAGCTTGCACGACACGTGCTATGGTCACTACCCACCCCCCCGGCCCGCCCACGGATCCCGGATGCACGAGGAAACGGCGCTGCGGCAAAAGTTTGATGCCGTCAAGGTCCCGCCGGAATAGGGGTGTGTCACATGTTGAAAATGCGAGTCGGGTCGTTGCCAGGGCGTCACAGCATTGCGGAGATTGGTAGGAGTCATGACACTTCATCTTCTCCAGCCATATTTTTGTACGTTGAGACTGTTCCATGTCCATGTGGCTTGCAGCTTTGTCGATTTCTTAGGCTCGCGCCTACGGGCTCCCCAAAACTCTCGCGTTGGGCCGATGTCTCGCGGCCTTTGAGGCTCCTATCTTCTCCCGTCGGGAGGCAGCCGGAGGTTTTTCGACGTCTTATGAATCCTTTCTTGTCTGTTCACCCCCCCCCCCCCCCCCCTCCCCACGCTTTCTGATTCTCAGGCCCTTGCAACCAAACCCAATCTAAGAAACGTCGTGCTGACAGCCAAAACTGGCAAAATGCCCGAGAATCTTCGGGCTTCTGCTTCCTGAGACGCGTCACCGGTGCTCGCATGAGGCAGAGTGGGATGCGGCCCACGATGCGCTCAACGCGGCAAAGGCCCTTGGATCTTCAAAGCTTCAGGAAGTTTAGGGGTTTAGGGGACTTGGGTGTAAGGCTTCTGCAGTAGAAGCCCAAAAGTTGGAAGCCCCATAGCCTCAATCTTGAATAGTACTGTATAGGGAATTCCAGCACTACTTGGCCTTAATCCGGTTTCCAACTTTAAGGGGTTTGCTGTAAAGGTTTCGGGGCAGAAGTTCGACTTTCCGGCTGGGGCCTTCCAAGCCTCTGGGACCGGGAAACCCACTGATGTAGGAACCGGATTGAGAAACCCTGGCCCTAGTAATAGGACCACTAGGATTCATAGAAAGAAGCCACAATAAAGATCCATGATTTCTAAATTAAGTTTGGCTCCTATATTAGGCAGGATCTCAGCGCAAACTTTTGGGTTTCCGTAGGGATCCTCGAAACTCGAGACCTTGGTACAAGTCAAGAGGGCTGTGGCGACTTCCTACTGACATGCCCCTATCGCCCGCCTACGAATCATGCAATAGTATTTCCCAACAACCTGTTCTAGTCATGAAGCCCCCGGGTAGCAATAGCAAACCCCTATTCCAAAACCTGAAGAGCTCTTGTACGAATTCCTGTGACAGGAACCTTGAGCCGTAGTGGTCGGGGGTTCCCGAAACTCCCAGGACATAATAATTAGGTCAAGTAGGACCCTTGGGTATATAACTTGTATAACCTTAGTATAGCTATTATATACCGAATATCTAAGAGATAGAAGGAGGGACCCTGAATAAGGACTCTTAGGTATGGAACCTTAATATTTCTTTTGCCAGGGATCCCCATGACTCTAAGGGTCTCTCCTTTGGGCCCTTTGAGAAGCGCGGCGTCGCCAGCTTTGGAGGCGGACTCCTGGGCCAAGCGCGGCCGGCTGTCGGAAGCCCTCAGGCCGGGCTCGTGAATGGGGGGCCATTGATTTGGGGGCTATTTTAAGGGGTTCCTTGAAGGGGTCTATAGGGACTTCTATAGGGGATCTAGAGTAGGGTTCCATGGTATAGGGCCACTGATCATTACCTAGTATTTTGGGGGCTCCTTCAAAGGGTTCCTTAAACAAATCTATAGGGGATCTTTTGTAGGGTTCCATGGTATAGGGCCACTGATCATTACCTAGTATTTTGGGGGCTCCTTTAAAGGTTCCTTGAAAGGGGTCTATAGGGAATTCTATAGGGGATCAATAGCAGGGTTCCATGGTATTGGGCCCTTGATCACTACCTAGTATTTTGGGGGCTTCTTTTAAAGGGTTCCTTAAAGGGGTCTATAGGGACTTCCATAGGGGATCTATAGTAGGGTTCCATGGTGTTGGGCCAGTGATCACTACCTAGTATTTTTGATCATTACCTAATATTTTGGGGGCTCCTTCAAAGGGTTCCTTTAAGGGGTCTATAGGGGATCAAAAGTAGGGTTCCATGGTATAGGGGCATTGATCACTACCTAGTACTTTGGGGGGTTCCTTTATGTGGGAGCCTGAATAATTAACTACTCTTCTGGAGATTCCTTATTGTGTGTAGAGTATCCTGGGCCCCAAAACCCTATTCTACCTATCTGGCCCCGATTTATTTCCTCCGGGTTCCCTCAGGGTGCTTTGAAGGGACACTGTGCTGGTTACGACAAGCCTTTTACCAAGGTTCTTCCATAGGAGCCTGATCATGAGAAGATGATTTTGTCGTATGCTAAGGCATGATTCTACTGGGGACTCTGAGAGCACATTATCTGTCCCTCAGCAGGTGCAGGAATGTTATGGCCGAAGGGTACGGTATGTAAGGGATTATGAGAGTTTCGCTTGGGCCCATCAGTTGTAGGGATGGTGTTGGCGGAGGTAAGAGATCGAGAGGTTGGGACTTTGGACTCGGGCTTTTAACCTCAGCAAGAATCGTCATGGCGGCATCGACGGAGTTAGGGTTTCGGAAGTTTGGGGTCCATGAGTGAACAGGGCTTTAAGCAGCGGCTTCAAGCTTCGGGGTTGTTGATGGCCAACTACAATGCAAAGGTCATCGGATTGCGACTGTCAGCGTCGATGATAGGTTTGCAAGCTTCTGGCCCCACAAGCCTGGGGTAGGGTTTAGGTAACCGTATGCCCGCCCCCTGCAATGTTTGATTGAGCAGGCGGAAAGCAGGCGTTAAGCAAAAGCAACCTGCACCTGGTCGGGTGCAGAAACTTCTGTGGTCATGGCTGGCGTTCGAGGTCTAGGTTTCGTCAAGCTGGTGTAGTCTCTCTCAGCACGTTCCTAAGGTTCTTTGTGAGCCTTAGAACTTATTAGAAGGTTCTTCGGGGTTACGTATCTCTGCGAAGAGAGTTGTAGTTTAGGGCTCACGACTCTTACCCAAAACCCCAAACTCCAAACCCTGAACCCCAGAGCCGGGGTAAAGGATTGTCGCTTTGGGCTCAAGGGCTTCCCGTTTTCCGTTTCGGTGCGTTCAACCTGGAGCCCGCCTGTGCCAGGGAAGCAATTTCCGTCGAGCACAAGGAGGATGACCTGAATTAAGACATGACACTGAGCACGATCAGTCTAGTAAGACGACAATAGTAATAGTCATAATCATGCGAATACTACCACTGGCATTAATAATGAGAACAATCATCAAAGCAACAGTCAAACTGTAACAATATCGGTACCATCAACAGTAGTATTACCAGAAAGAACAACAATAATGCATACCTCAAGATTCCACCACCACCATCACTACTACTACGACTACGAACTATGAACTACTAAATACTAGCTACTAGCTACTAGCTACTAGCTACTACCTACTAACTACTAACTACTAACTACTAACTATAACTACTAACTACTAACTATAACTACTAGCTACTAACTACTAGCTACTAGCTACTGGCTACTAGCTACTCACTACTAACTACTAACTACTAACTACTCACTACTAACTACTAATTACTAACTACTAACTACTCACTACTAACTACTAATTACTAACTACTAACTACTAACTACTAACTATAACTACTAACTACTAACTATAACTACTAGCTACTAACTACTAGCTACTGGCTACTAGCTACTCACTACTAACTACTAACTACTAACTACTCACTACTAACTACTAATTACTAACTACTAACTACTAACTACTAATTACTAACTACTAACTACTCACTACTAACTACTAACTACTAACTACTAATTACTAACTACTAACTACTCACTACTAACTACTAACTACTAACTACTAACTACTAATTACTCACTACTCACTACTAACTACTAACTACTAACTACTAACTACTAACTACTAGCTACTAA